ACTGGACAAAGCTGTGAACAACTGCAAGATAATTACATTTTATAATTTCAAACAGGCTATTTGAAAGCAAGCAGTAAAATGCTAACCTAAGCCCAGCTTTTCAGCTAAGTAGATAATAGAAACGTTTTGTCAGGTCTACTCTGGAGGACATCGGGATCGCCCTGACCTTAAATTGGCCATATCCAACATGGATTGTCTTGGCCTAATAATATTGCATGAACGGTGTTCCCTCAGTGCAAGCAAAGACACAGTCTGTTGAATGTGACATGCAGCCAATAATAAAGCATCTACACGTTTAAATCATCATGTGTGAAGTCTCTTTATGTTTTAAAAATACCCTTACAGTACAATTTTAACCAGACATTAATCTGAAAATCTCCAGGAGTTTGACCATCTTTAAAAACTTTTTCTTAGGTTTATTATTCGGTATATTGATAGACTAGAAGCAGCTCTCTTAATACATACCCAGATCTACAGAACCTTACAGACAGACTTTGTTTAAACACAGGCTGTAAATAAAACAGCTGACAGGAAGCCAACATGCTGTTGGATAGTTACAGAGGTAATGCAAACAAAAGAGAACCTGTCTATATCTAATAACTAGAGCTTTATTAATATTTTTTATGACAAAGTTAGGACTTCAAACTTTAAAGACTTCCTGAATTCAGCAGCAGTAACAATAAATATTGTGGGCTGACCTTTCATGGCTGCTCTCATTTCTCAATGATAGTTCAGGGGCTCCTTACATGTCATCAGCTCTTATGTCTTTTTTACAGGCATCTTACTTCATTTCCTGTTTGACTGATCACTGCCGCTGTGACCAAATCAAAGCAGCTCTAGTCTGAGGGAAACAAGTGAGTACAGCTTCGAATCCAATTGTGCACAGCAAAAAATTGAAATCTAAATAAGTCATTTTTTCTTAAGATAAGCTATTTTTCTTGAATTTCAACACAATTTACATTTAAAATGAGAAGAAATTATTGCATTGTCTTGTTTCAAGTGCATATTACCTAATTATCTTATTTTAAGTGTAAACAGATTCATTCCATTGCCAAATCATCTTATTTACCTACTCAAATTAAGGGTCAATACAGTTAATTTAAGAAAGTTTTACTTATATCTAGATCAATGTTGCAGTGTGTTACAGAGATCACTGACATCCATGTGTTAGATTTATTAATTTCTTTGAATTCTGGTCATTTTCCTGCTGGACTGGGTAAGAAATGTTTGCTGTAAAAGGTTTATTCTTCTACTTGGGACAGGTGAATGATATCCTTTATTCCCTTTGGATTTCCTCAGTTTATTCAAAACCCAACAATAAGTAATGGTAAAGATAGATTAATGTATATCAAAATGATTTCATGCCTTTTTTTTAAACAGATTTGTTCATTTTGATATACAGAGGACTGCACTTCCTCATATGTGACTGCCTTAAAATGTTAACCTCCAAAAATAGGAATCAAGGCAGATGGAATAACTTTTTTTAGCATAGTTCCTGAAAGAAAGTTCCATATTGAAAGTATCTTCAAACTATTTGATCAGCTAGATGGTTGATTTTTCAACCACTCAGCTTAATCAGCAGCAGGAGGATCAATTCAATGACCAATCAATCTCAACAGCGGTCTACTTTATTAACTAACATTAAGAGGAACACAGAGCGTGGCCTTGATATTTAACAGCTCATGTATTTTCTCAGACAGGTATCCCTAGGAGGCCTCCAGACAAACATTAAATTACAACATGAAATCAATAAAGTCAAATTTAGAAACAGCAGTGTTAATGATTACCACCGAGTACATGGAGTGGTTCTTTGATATGATCTCAGCACAAACTAAGTACTTAGCAGGATTGTTATAATATGGCTTTTATTCATTGCAAAAAAATACCTGGAATTATGTAAAAAGGAAGCATTATATTCTCCTTTACATTCTAATTACGAAACACCTGCAATTAGTCCATTTGATGTGAGGGAGCTGTGACTCTGCTCTGAGCCTCCAATAATGACAGTGCTCTGCACTTTGTCACTCAGTCCATCAACCACATTATGAAGCCGTTTGGGTCATAATCTATTTTAAATAGCGATAGGTGAGGGACAGAACAAAGGCAAACTGGCTAACAGAGAACTTTTTATCTCTTGCCTCTCCCAGATAGACTTGCTGAACACTACAGAATCCATCTGTCCATCTCCGTGCCTCTTCATCCTTCCATCACTCTTGAACAGCAAAAAGACACTCAAACACTCTTCACTTGAAGCAGAGCCAGTTCAGAGTACTAGCTCATAGTCTATTGAAGGAAATGTGGATTTATGACTAGAATACATAACATCTCAAGGCCGTAAGTCTCTCTGAGTTATTTAGGTTAAGTAAGATCTCAGATTAAGTTATATCATCATAGAGTCAAATGACCTTATTATGGCTTAGATTCTGAACTGATACAGATACAAAAAATATATCAGATCTAAATACTTTTTATTAAGATTAAGTATATAGATATATAATAGTTGGTTTTACGGTAATTAAATGAAAATTTACAAAAAAGAAACAAAAACCGAGCACATTAGTAATGTATGGGGTGCAAACTGGTTAAAGGAGTACAGGCCACTTGATCCACAGCTTCCACAGCACATGCTATATGAACTAGTTTTTTCTAGAGATATAAAGGGTTGGGGTTCCTACAAGCATTAACATTTATTAATATTGTGTTATTTTTATATAATTTTGCATTGTACCTATGGCTTAAAAGCCAATTAAATGAAGCAAGAGAAACAGAGATACAGTGACCAGAGTTCCCTCTATCTGAAGCATGAAGCAACACAGCCCACCGTGTATGGCACCCTCGCTCGCTTCTGTCAGTGAGCACCAGGGCAGTTGTGGCTACAATGTAGCTTGCCACCATCAGTGTGTGTTTGAATGGGTGAATGGCTGTATGTAGTGTAAAGCACTTTTGTCAAGTCTCCTGATTTGAAAAAGCCTTATATAAGTAAAGGCCATTTACCATTTAAAAACCCTCCCACAGCTCTTGCTGTGCACTGCTGTTCAGCTGACTGAAAGAAAGTTCCTGTACCTTTCCTTACTCACAAGACATATACATATGGCCAAATGGACAGCGGCGTCCCTTTCATGAGTTGTTAGCCTGACTGATTCATTAGGTCATATTAGCTTGTTTTCATTTTTGCTACTTTATAAAAAGCTGAAAAAATGTAAATTGGATTTTAAAGTGACAAAAATTTCTTGAAAGCTACTACTAATTTTATTTTGGATATTTTATATATTATCATTATAGGTGCAGTCAAAAGAATTATCAATGATCTGGTTTAAATAAATGCAATTACATGATGTTAAACATTTTTGGAGGTAATTCTTTACATGTTATGTGGGACTATCCTCTCCATCATATCCAGAGGATTGGTTTTACAAAGCGAGGTAAGAGTGATCATCATTGTTGGATAGATGCTGGACACAGTGCACAAATAGGTCTGCATGGCTATCATCCCAACGGAAGTCTCTTCTAAAGAGGATGCATAAAAAAGCCTAAATACACTTTGCTGAAGATAATCATTCCAAAGACATTGATAAATTGTCCTGTGTGATAAAATCTGTGATAATTGTGTCAGCTGTTGGGTTGCCAGTCAGGAGAGGAGAACCATGACAAGTGTGTCTTACCTTCAGTCAAGCATGGTGGTGGGAGCATCATGCTTTGGGGCTGCATGCATGCTGCCAAAATGTACTTCTGACAAACTAATGGAGAGCACGATTCCCTCCTGGGCAGCAGAACAGCACTCCAACATGATAAAAACCCAGAATACATTTCCTAAACAACCACAACAATCACTGCCTTCCTAAAGAGACTAAGGGTGAAAGTATCGGTCCTGCCTAGCTACTTGCCTCCAGACCTAAACCTCATGGAGCATCTGTAAGGGATCCTTAAACAGAAGGTGAAGGAATGCAAGGTCTCTAACCTCCACCAGAACTCAGAGGCCTAGAGAGTTAAGGCAATACAGGAAAATAACAGTCGACAAACAACATATTGACATTTTGGGAACGTTTTGGACATTTTCACTTTGAAGTTTGTTCACCTAAGCTGCCAGTAGTTTAGTCATTATAAATGTATGCAGAGTTACTCTGATTAGACAGCAAATTTACACTGTCACAGCATCTTTACACTGACTACTTTACATTGTATAAAAGTGCCATATTTTGAGGGCTGACAGTGGGCTGTCAATGATGAGTAAATCATTTTTTTCTTCCACTTTGAGGGATGACCTTACCATTGTGAGACACTGTATAGCTGTTTAACATAAACATGTGTTTGAAACTGTGGCATTAGATACGGTATGCAAGGAAAGAGGAAGTTTTAAGGAAAATTGTGTTAATGTTTGGTATAAATTCCTCGGGTCTCAACATTTCTTTGAAGTATATGTAACAGATTGATACTATTTAGCCTTTATGAGCCTTTTTAAGTCTAACACAGCAATTTTAGCTTTAACCGTAACATGTGATTCATTATAAAGCATGGAATATTTATTTTAGTCAGAAAGAGTGCTGAATTATAGAGGTATAACCCCCTTGCTCTGTGTTAGTGTTGTAAAATGTGTTTTCTCTGAAAAGTCTGCCGGGTTTTATCAAACAGCAATTTCAACCAACTGAATTCAATTAAGAGTGATACATCACTGCAAATGGGTGTGCTCCTGTAGGAGTATTAGGGGAAGAAAAAGAGCCAGTGTTTTAGCAGTGTGATGATTCTGTGTTAGATACAGTGGCGTGATAAGGTGACTAAATTATCTGTGAAGCTTATTACACAGAGACACACTGACAGAGCATTTTACAGCCAGCTGAAACACATGGGGATTCAATCTCACTGTCAGTGGAGGTGATGACACCCAGCAGGTCACACTTACTCACACAACTACACTCAACCTGGATCAATTGCTACCCGGTGTCTGAATCTAAGCGCTTGTGGATGTAAATACCTGAGCAGGTAAGGTGAGTATTCAGACTTACATCTCAGAGGACGGAGGTTGGTTACGGCAGAGGAGCGCGTGTCCGCACGCCTGTCCCATCGCGCATCCTGCCCGGCGCCTCTGTCTCCAACCCGGCTGCAGTCAGTGGGCTGACAGGGAGAAGCAGCCTGATTGTCGATCTGTCGAAAGAGGATATGCGTTTGGATGGGTGGATGATGACTGGGTGTGTGCTTCCTCGCTTTCTCTCTCTGCCTGCCTGCTCAGATCCTCTCCGGCTCTGACAGGCGCGCAGGGATTGGTCGGGACCCGGTAAGTGATATTCGAGCCGCGGTGAGCGAGCTTATAACAGCTGAGCAAAGAGACAGAGAAGCAGTCGTTCAGCACCACATGGACAAATGGAGTCTCAAGATAATCACTCAGACCCAGTCATGGAAATTAAACTGTGCGATAAATATTAAACTTTGAGCTGGCGCCTTTGAACTTTATCTGCACATTTTCCTCTCCGTGTTGCGCACAGACTCTGTGACAAGACCTTGAATTGATCCATCTTACATCCGACAAAGATCTCACCAGCTCAATACAGCAGGGTTTCAATAGAAAGCACATGCAGCTCTCCTCTCCAGAGTGTCAGCCGCAGGACGCTGCAGGTCTCAAGGTCCATCACGCATCTTTTACCATATATGGTGTTTCCACAATTATGAAAACAAACAGTTAGGATTTAAATAGTAAAACTCGACTAAAGATTTGCATGTATTTAATTTAGATGAATTAAGCTAAAAAAAATTGCATTCACAATAAACCTAACATGGAAAAACTTGACACAACAGTTACACCTATTGGGTTGGACCCCTACCATCTTCAGAATTGCCTTAGTTCTACTAACCTGGATTCAGCAGGGTTTGGGAAGCCATTTTTACATGCTTGCATCACAAACTTGCAGTATATTTGTTAGTCTCAACCCAATGCCTCCTAGAAGGGCTCTATTCGATTCTCTGCAGCTTCAGTTCTTACCTGCCAGATGTGGTCTCTGGTATGTTCTGCTGCGAAAGCCCCTCAGCCTATAGGGAATGAGGCGTTTATGGCTTCTGTTGAAGGTAAGCTCTGTATCTACACCCTGAAGCTTTCTCTCTCTGGTTCTTTTTCCTGAAAATTAATGACTCGGGACAAACTCTTTAAATAACACTTCATAAAGTATAAATAACCAGGAGACATGACAACAGATTTGGATAGAAATTGTAATCTTACTAATATCAGAGAAGTTGCTTTGAGTTACAGAAGGCAGCTGCTTACCAACCAAGCTAACTTCTCTTGAAGCAACAGTAAAAGAAGCATTTTATACTCCAGTCTGACACATCATTATGTCATGCACGTTTATAGATGCAGAGACATCCATGGCTCCAGCCATATCACACCTTTACACTTTGTTCTTAGATCAAGAACATCACTTTCATTCCATTCCCCAATCTCCGCCACGTGCAGAATGAAGATTATAACTGTATATAGCCCGACTGTCCTAATTAGATACACTGGGGAAAACATCAGTTCTGACAACCAACAGGCAGATAATATTAAGGTGTAATAAACTCACAGATCATCAATTATAATTATCCTAACACCTACCTTAATAGCATCACATAGTGCCTCAAAATGCTGCCACTTTCATATCAAAACAGTCTTTAATTGGGGATATCAAAAGATATTGCAGTCTAAACAACTCCAGATAAATAACTGAGTGTGAGAAACCCCTTAACCTCAGGTATAAATACTTGAAGTTCTCCAACCAATCTGTCTTGTTCAAAAAAACCTTATTACCTTCTAAGTCTTAAAACTCTTTTTGTCCCAACTTGTCCTTTATTTCCTTTATTTGACCTTCAGCAAGTCGTTTTTTACACATTTAGATGCATTAAACTGCTGCCTTGTGTTTGGCTAAATTATTTTTAGTTTTAACAAAGTAATTGAAGGGGTATAACTACCTAATTTGCCACTGAATGTTGTTCACTCATTATGCAAGAAAATAATAGGCAACCAGAATGTTTGTTGTTTTGTTTTGTTGTTTTGTTTTTGTTTGTTTTTTGTTATACACAGATCTGCTGATTCTTTTGCTCTTCAGAAATTTAAACTTTCTCATCTCATAACTAGCTTGTATTATGCCTTGTTTAGGTACGGTGATGAGTTCTTGTAGGTTTAATGAAAAGATACCGAGGCAAACATCCAAAAACACATAAATACCTAGAATACAAAATCAGCAAACATCAGGGAAAACTAACGTGGGGAGCCAGGGACAAGGAAGCGTCAAAATAACAAGGAACCAGCACTGAAGAACTGCAGAGGGAGCGTATATATCGGAGACAGAACAGAGACTGGGGTAATCAGATGATAAGGAGCAGGTGTGGATGGAGGTGACAAGAAGGGAGCTTGGGGAAAGGAGACAGGCACAAGGGGGCAACAGAGAGTAACTAAAGACTGGCTTAAATATAACACAAAATGGAAAATAAACCAAAGATAAAAAAAAAAAAAAAACAGAATTACATAGATAGTGAAAACTGAAAACTAAAAACTCAAAGTGCCAAAAGGGAAGAACCACAACAGACTGATCTGAAATGTTTTTCTAAATTCTACTCATTGTCTATTGTTTTTAGGCATTACTGGTGAGCTATCGATTGTGTAAGGATCAGCTTAGGTTCCAAAATAAGTAAAAACATAAAAAATAAATAAATAAATGTCAGGGTTGGTTGTGGGTTAGGACCCAAATGCAGAGGCAGAGAGGCTGAGGTGATTTCTTGTGGATTTAATCAAAGGAAACAGTTTAACAAAGGTAGGAATGCAAAAATCCAACTAATAATGAAAAGCAAACCAGAATTATGGAGACATCTGGGGAAACCAAACACTAGGAGCCAGGGAGAGACGAGGTGGGTGGAAAACAGCATGGGAGGACAGCAAAGACAAGGAACCAACAAAGAGTGAGAGCAGAGGGAGAGCATATATAGCTCACAGAGACAAAGGGAGGGCTAACGAGCTGACAAGGAGCAGGTGTGAGAGGAGACAACGAGGGAGCCAAGGGGAAAGGAACACACAGACACACACACACACACACACACACACACACACACACACACACAAGAGGGCAACAGAGGACAACAGAAAAACATGAGAACTAAC